ACCTGGGATAGTGGAAGGTGTCCCATGGTATGGGGTTGGAATTTGATGATTTTTACAGGCCCGTCCAACCCAAACCATTCCATGATTCCATTAAGAGACCTACTGGCCAAAGGCAGCCTGTAGAATTTTTGTTGAGATTCTGGAGTAGGTTTTTGGACTCTGATCCATGGATTTCATCTGTTTTGCCTTTCAGTTCCCTGTAACATGTTGGATCTCATAGATTTCAGCACTTTGCCCAACCATGAGCTGGTGCAAAATTGTTTCCCCTCATGGCACAACATCCCCACCCACATTTACTGAGGATATTCAGAAACTTAAAGCTCAGTCCTAAAAAATGTGTGGCTGGACGAAGCCTGGAGTCACCAACGTGTGACAATTCCCATCTGTCCAACGGGGGCTGAGTGACAAAAGGGATCAGGACCCAGACCAGAGTCGAGAAGGATTAAAACACATCCTATGTGTTTTGCAGCCAGATGGGAATGTGCAGAGTGCAGCCCCAGGTCTATGCTGGAGGTGGAGCCCACCCAGACCATCTGCCCCAGCCTTTTGCAGCACTCCGAGCATCTCTCTCGTATCCAAGTGACCCAAAATGACTTTTCTAAATTAAGATGCCAACCAAAACGCCGTGCTCCACTTCCTTCTCCCTCAACACATCTGCTGCTGACACTGAAAGTTTCTTTTCACCTCATTTTTAGGCTTTGTTTTCAGGCCTGGGGCTGTACAGAATAAAGAGGGAAAGAGGCTTCTGTGTTCCTCTGGAATTAGGGATGTGAGAGTCAAGCAGGAGAAGAATGAAGATATCCAAGAGAGGATGTGCTGCCGTGTCAGAGGCAGATGCTCCAAGCCCTCCAAACCCTAATATGGAAAAATGGCTCTATTTTAAGACCGGAAAAAAGTGCACATGATAGGATTGAGATGAGAAATAATTTGGGAGTGATATTGAAAATGATATCGCTGCTGCTGTACTTCAGCGCTGCCAGGCTCATTCCATAATTAATAACTCCTTCAGATGGAGTGACTTTCCTTTGAGGGTGTAGAATTAAATATTTAAATCCCTCTCTGTAAATACAAGGCTGTGGCAGAGCTCTCCAGAAGCCTTGCAGCTACTCTCTAATGTATATTTATATTCTAGATAAGTATTTTTAGCAAGAACTACAAGTCCTTTCTGTATTTGATGACATCAGAGCTCTGTTTTACATGCAATGTCCCGACTGCAAAAAAAATCCCCTTCTTTTTCCAGCTCTTGGAATATCGCAATAATTTCTGCCTTTGTCTCATCTCTCTTTCATGTTTAATGCGTGTTCCAAGAGAGCTGTGTGGGGCTTTTTTCCTCTCTCTTGCTCCCAAAGATGATAAAATATATAAAGTTTATAAAGAAAAAAAGCAGCCAAACAGCTTCTGGTGTTTCCCACCTCTGCAATTGGGCCATGCTGGGATAACAACCACCACTCATAGCCTGACCAGCATCCTGCTGTGGAGAGCAACAGGAATGATCCCTGCTGGAAAACCCAGTCTTTTAAATATTAATCCTGCTGTTCCCATGATGCTTCTCTGGGAATCCAGCTCAGGGCAAACCAGGATTGAACCTGGGTCCTCCTTCAGTTTAAAACCAAGACTGCTTTGTCTTTCCAGGGAGATTATCTTTTGGAATGCCCACTCCACCTTCTGGAATTGTGGCGCTCACCAGAAAAGGCTACTCAAGGCTCATACCTAGCCCTGATTTTTGGCTGGAGGTGGGACTCGACAAGGTATCCCAGCTGGAATATCCTCACTGATGAGCCTCTCTTGTTCTTTACTCTCTAATTTCTGTGTGGAAAAAAGCACTTCAGGTTTGTAACTGGAAGCGGGAGATGCAGATCAGGAAAAAAAATCCTCCCTGGAAAGGTGCTGAGGCCCTGGCAGAGGTTTCCCAGAGCAGCTGTGGCTGCCCCATCCCTGAAAGTGCCCAAGGCCAGGTTGGACAGAGCTTGGAGCAACCCAGGATAGTGGGAGATGTCCCTGCCCATGGCAAGGGGTTGGAATTTGATGATCTTGAATCTCCCTCCCCACCCAAACCATTTTATGACTCTGTGTACCTCTAGCGCTACCCCACATTTGCAGAAGGGCTGGAAGGCAGTGGAAAAGGCAATTTTTTTTGACCAGATACAGCATAAGGCACTGAGGAATGCCCTCAAATATGGAGATAAACTCTCTATATGTGCTGGGAAGAACAAGCCCTCAGAAGGACAAGAAAAATCCCTCAGCAGGGCAACATCAACACTGGATTCCGCTGGCTGTGAAGCTTCACCCGGCAGGGCCGAGAGGTTGCAGGTCTTTTTCTGGCCCTTTGGAGACACATTTTCCTCTGTTCTATTTTCTCCAGCCTATATTTAAACTTCACCCTCCCCGTGTCCACTAGACCCAGTGACGAAAAAATCCGGCCAGGCCTTTGAATCTCCTGCATTTCCTGGGGCAGTGGCGCTCACTGGGTTTAACTCCTGAGGGGTAAAGGGAGGGATAAATAACAGCAATAACAAAAAAACCCCAGCAAATTCAATTTTTTAAGTGCTCCCAGTGATGCTTGTTCAGCCTTGTGGCTGCCACAGTGTGAACAGGTGACTTGTAATGCAAAAAAAGGCCATTTTGTACCCCTGCGTGAAGGGTTTGTCACCTCTCCTAATCAAGGAATGTATTAGAGGTGCTTTGAAGATAAAAATCTTCAGCTCCTGAGCTGAAAAAGCTTCTGAGTCTGTTTTGGCTCCAGCAGAAACTCGTGGGTCACGTTGGCAGGTAAATCCTGGGTGACAGGAGGCCGGGAGTGGCAGGATGCTCACAGCCAGCACTGGTGACACGAGGGGACAGTCCCCACAGGGACTTTTGCAGCACAGCATGGTCACTCCCACCCTCGCTGCTGAGCTCAGGCATTTTCTCTTTTGCTCCCTAAAATCCTCCCAGTTGTCCCAGTGCATATCCCAAAAATGCCTCTTCTCCCACTGGGCTGTATTTTACCCTTCTCCTGCTTATTTTCCAGCAGGGATTGCCTCAAATCTGGCTTTTCCAAGGAGGATTTTTGCACTCCTGTGCTCATCCCTGTGTGTGGTTTTCCCCCTGTCTGGCACAGAGCAGTTTGGGAGCTGAAAAATAAGGCAGAAACCCCCTCCCTGCACCCCATGCTGCCCCACACTCATTTCCCACGGGAATATCGAACACAAAAGAAAGATGCTGCAGGCTGAAAACCAGAGAATCCAACTTTATTTACTAAATTCTCACCTCAAAGGGAGCCCTCACCCTCCCAGTCCTTCTGTATCCAGACCCTGCCCCATCCATGGGTGGACAGCAGAGCCCAGGATGCTGCAGAAAATGTGGAAAGGCTGCTGGAGACAGAGCTGGAAGCCAGGATAAAAAAAGGGAATGTGATCTGAGGATGGCAAGGGTGGAGCTTTGCTTCTGGCCTGACAAATCCGGCTGGTTTTGAAGCAGGGAACAAACAGAACAGACGAGTGGGAAGCAGGGACTGGCGCTCAGTGTCTGTGAGGGTGGGTGGAATACTGGGATTTGAGTAACTTCCAATTATTATCCTCCCCATGGCATTTGCTCCCTGTAGATCTCAGCATTGCCAGGGGGTTTTCAGTGTTTTAGTGGAGCTCTGAGGGTTTCACCTCCAGGAAAAACGGCTCACCATCCTCCGAGCTCTGGCAAGGAATGCAAAATTGTCAGAGTTTTTTTCTAAATAGTACTGAGACAGACCATGAGAAATAATTGCCTCTGTGCAAGGAGGAAAAAGAGCCCCCTACTTTGGTTTCTTGTGAAGAGAGCAGAAAAGGGAAAAAAAAAATGAGGATAAATAGACTTTGCTGCAGAGGAGGTTGCAGGGGTGCTGTGAGCACACAAGGATGGTGCACGGGGTGTATCCATCCTCCACTCTACCCTTGCTTCCCTATCATCTAGATGATCCCTGGGCAATAGGAACAGAGGGAATGGCAAATTTCCTGCATCTCTGCGAGCTGGCCACACCTGGTTCATTCATATCTGCTTCCACTCCAGCTGCTTTTGCAGCAGGCAGGGCCTCAGAATCAATCCCACATCTGCTCCAAGCAAATCCCAGCTGGGATCCCAGCACTTTTAATAGATTTTTTCCCAGAGCTGAGGGTCTGGGATAACCATTATTTTCCCTATCCTGCAGTTTCTGCTCTGAAGGGATGAAGGGACGGCAGAATAAGAGAAGAATTTGCTTGGAATAGTCTTTAAAACATCTGGAAAGGGAAATCTGGGAGCTCCAACTGCAACCTGAGCTCAGGCAGAAGCTGAGGCAGGGTTGTGTTTGTCTGGCCAAACTTGGAAATTTGGGTTGTGGGTCTGGCCTACCCTGGTCTGTCCACGGGGTGTTCTGAGCTTTCCAGAAATCCATCCTGTTCCCACATGGAAGCTGAGCCCTTCTGAACTCATTCCTTAGTTTATCCTTGGCATTAAGCTCCAGGTCTCTGCAGCTGCCACCCACACCGTGACGGGCAGGAAGTAACTGGGCCCAGATCCATCTGCTCCTCTCAGTCAGGACATGGCACAGGATTCCCAGAGAAGCTGGAGCTGGATCCCTGGATCCCTGGAAGTGTTCCAAGCCAGGCTGGATGGGGCTTGAAGCAACCTTGGACAGTAGAAGGTGTCCCTGCCCGTGGCAGGGGGTTGGAACTGGATGATCTTGAAGGTTCCTTCCAACCCATTCTCTGTGGATCCTGAGGACCAGAAGCAGCTGAAGGTGAGGAACATCTGCTTAAACAGCTGGAAACTGAAGATTTGAGGGGTTTAAGTCCAGGTGCCCAAACTCTTGGCTTGAATCCAGCATTGAAGGTGGGGTGAAGCCACACGTCAGAGAAGGAGGACGTTCCCAAAGCATCTAAGAGTTCATGAGGCAGCTTGGCAGGGAGAGTGGTGGGCTGTCAGTGGAGCTGGGACACTTGTGACCTCACAGGGAGCACTGGAGGACCATGCCAGCCACCACGGCCACCACACTCAGCGCTGTGGAGCTGCTCCTCACCCCACTGCTGCTCCTGGTGTCATCCGTGCACAGGTCGGTGTAGCAGCAGGATTTGGGCTTTTGGGCCCCTATCCCGTCGTAGGAGAGGCATTCCTCCTCACAGTCCCTGGTCACGGTGATGTTGCCAAAAAAGGGATAACCTGGGAGAGGTTGATTGGAGAGGAGGAGGAGGTGAGATACGGGAAAAAATAGGGAAGGAAAATGGGATTGAGAAACGCCGACAGGAGGTGTTGGACATCCCTAATCCATGGGTGCCTCTACTGGTGACTCTCTCTCACCCTCCTGCTCCTTCCAAAATCATTCCAGGATGCAAAAGGGACATTATTCCCTGTAGATACTTGCACTGGCTATAAATTTAGGGTCCGTAGAGATATTGGGGTGGGAAAGTCAACACAGAGGGAACAAGCGCAGTGAGTCCTGACACTTCACTGTGAGGCTCCAAATCTGATGGATTCCTCTCCTTCCCTCTCTAAAGTGGGATAATTTCTACTGGGTTTTTACAGAGACGTTAAAGGGTAATCCAAGCTGTGACTGGGATGGGGAGAGGGAAGTGTGGCCAGCAGATTGAGGGAGGGGATTCTCCCCCTCTGTTCCAGTGAGACCCCACCTGAAGAGTGGGAGCTGTCTCCAGCTCTGGGGTCCTGACACGACAAAGACAGGGAATTGCTGGAACAGGTCCAGAGGAGGCCATGGAGACGCTCCAAGAGATGGAGCTGATCTGCTCTGGAGCCAGGCTGGGAGAGCTGGGAATGTCCAGCTTGGAGAAGAGAAGGCTCCAGGAAGAGCTCAGGGCCCTTCCAGTGTCTAAAGGGGCTCCAGAAGAGCTGGAGAGGGACTTGGGACAAGGGATGGAGGGACAGAACACAGGGAATGGCTTCCCACTGCCAGAGGGCAGGGATGGATGGGATATTGGGAAGGAATTCTTGGCTGTGAGGATGGAGAGGCCCTGGCACAGGTTTTCCCAGAGAAGCTGTGGCTGCCCCATCCCTGGAAGTGTCCAAGGCCAGGCTGGATGGGGTCTGGAGCAATCTGGTCTAGTGGAATGCAGGGGTTTGGAGTTCAATGATCTTTAAGCTCTCTCCCAGCCCAACCCATCCTGGAATTCTCAGATTTCTGCCCAGGACCCCTCAGGGGCAGTGGTGGGACTCACCTGTATCCATGGAGTGCAGCGTCGTGGTGCACACGGTGGCTTTCGGGGGACACAGGGTGGCTGTCCTGCACTTGGAAATGTCTGTGGGCTCCTTGCAGGTGTAACATCGCAGGGACTGGGCTGCAGAGGGGACAGAAGGGCTCTGAGGTTACACAGCAGGGAAGACAGACCCATATCTGTGGCTTTCTGACCAAAAATGCAGCAGTGTCCAAAATTAAGCATGTCTGGAGGCAATGACAAAGCTTGGATATGCCAGGGGGGGAAAGACCAAATCCCAGAGCTGGAGGACAAGGGTGGTGTAGCAGGAACTGGGCCTGAGCTTGACTTTGGAGGCTCAGCAGGCTGAAAAAGTGGGATTTAGAGGGACCTCACCTTGAGCTTTGGTAGGTCTGAGTGTCCTCTGGAGAAGGGGAGGCTGAGGGGAGATTTTTAGGATCTACAAGTTCCTCGTGAGGGGAAGTGGAGGGGCAGCACTGATCCCGTTGAAGCAGTGACAGAATCCAAGGGAACGGCCTGAAACTGTGTCAGGGGAGGTTTAGCTTGGATATCAGGAAAAGGTTCTTCCCCCATTTAGGCACTGGAACAGGCTCCCCAGAGAATGGTCACGGCATCAAGAGCTCAGGAAGAGTTTGGACAATGCTCTTGGGCACAGGGTGGGATTGCTGGGATGTCCTTTGCAGGGCAAGGAGCTGGACTTTGATAATCCTTGAGAATCCCTTCCAAATCAGGATATTCCATGATGGTAAAAACCAGCTCCTTCTGCTGAGAGCAGCATTCCCCAGCTGTGACAGTGACAGCTCCCCCATCCCTCCCCTCACAGCAACAGCTCCTTCCTGCTTGTTTAAGGGAAATTCTGCAGGAATCAGTAACTGAGGGCAGGATTTAAATTTCAGAGCTGTATCAGACATCCTGAGGGCTGAGTGTGGCCTCAAAACCGCTCTCATCAGGGTCTACTGCTGCTTTTTGAAGTGTACAAACCCTTGCTGGCTGTCACCTGAGGGAGGGACATCTCTAAATATGCAAATCTTGGTCACAGCAGCTCTCAAAACCCTCAGTGTGAGCACTGTCCATCCACAGCCAGCAGACACCGAGAGTGTGGATTTTCCAAAGTCCTGCTGGTGTGGCTGGATGACAAAAACCAGCCTGGCTTGAGATTTTCTATCCTACCCTCCTTCCACCGGCTGAAAAACAACCTGCAAGCGTCCAGTGCCATCTGTTGGTAAAAATTCACACCGAAGCTGTTTTTTGGTTTGTTCTTTTTTTTTTTTTTTTTGTTCCCATTCTGCTGTTCGAGGAACTTCTGGGGCTTTGTGATAAGGATAAATATTTTTGAAGGCATTTGCTTGAACACCTGACTTCAGAAGGAATTTTCAAAGCATCTACTTCTTGCAGCAACTCCTTTGGAAAACTCAGCTGTGGGTTAGAGCCTACACAGTGCAAAACTTCTCCTTCTTATTCCTTAGCTCTTGCTAAGGAATTCAATTCAAAGAGACAAATCCTTGTCTCTTTGCAGAAGTAAAAAGGATTTTTTCGTGGGAATATTTCAATTTTCTTGTGGCCATGCTCCCTGTAAACAAGGGTGGCAGAGCCATCCCTGTTTATCTCAGCTCAGGACCTCACTAGATCCCTTCCCAATGATCCATAATCCAATCCATAAAATTGTTATATATTTTAACAGAGATAACACATTATCAAAAATCATTTGGATGGATGGATGGACAGAGCAGTCCTGGCTTCAGGCTCTTGAGAAACTGCCCTGCAACACTTGGGGTGAGGTGGTTTCCATTTACAAACCTCCACATTTTCATGGATGAGCTGGGAAGTGCCTTGGGGGAATTAATCCCAGTTAAAAGCAGGTTTAAGGAAGGAAAACCTCAACTCCCTCATCTTTCACTGCCTCCACGTGGGGCATTAAGAGGACGTGGGTTTTGTGGGAAGGTTGCATGGGAAAGGAAAGCCCAAATCCATAAGGGCTGGGACTGGAGAACTGAACAGAGATAGCTCTACATCCTGATCTGAGCCAATAATTCCCTGTTCCTCACTGTTCCTTCTATTCCTTGATATCAAGCCTCAGGAATATGAATGGTCACAGACACATCCCCCAACCACAACAGGGGTGCCTACACCAGCTGCTTCCCTCTGGATTATCCCAAAAAATTAATTTCTGTCTGATTTCAACTATAAAGCAAATGGGGTTGATAACTCCGTTTCCATAAAATTCTTTGAGACCTTGGGTGGCTTTTCAGAAATTCCGTTAAATCCAAGACAGGAATTCAGATGGAGATGTTTGAACCCTGCCCAGGCTGCCTTTGCTTTGAGGTCTTCCATGGTCCCACAAAACAGCCTGAGGATCTCTGGGGCCCATGGGCTGTGGGTTAAACCTCTCTGGGGTGGTGCCATCCCTGGAATGCCTGTTCCAGGCAGGGATGTGGCTGCACTTGGTCACATCTGCATGGAGGAAGGACACAGCAATGGCCAAACCCTGCTGCCAGGTTGCCCAAGATCCAGGTCCATCACAGACCCAGGGGAATTTCCCATTTCCACATATCTGCTGGAATAAGGGGAAATCCTGGAGCTGGGGATTTAATAAAACCTGTCAATGTCCTTGGAGTTATTTCTCATACCTCTACCTTAATCTACATTGAAGTATCACCTTCTAGCTTTCAGCGCTTCCAGCAGCCAGCTGGAAGGTTTTTAAGGATGTCAGGAGTTCGGGATGAACATTCCTGATGGGACAGGGTGGCAGCTCAGGTAGAGGCTGGCACTTCAAGCTCCTGCCCAGGCTGGTCCTGCCCTGTGCCTTGAGGTTGTCCCCTCCATCCCTGGGTGTGGGTGACAGGTATCCAAAAGACCTGCATCGCTCCCAGTCAGGCATCACAGCTCTTCCCACTAGGAATGCACCTCTCCTTTCCCATTTCACCCTCTCCTTCCACCTTCTTCAATACAAAAGGCATCATTTCCCCTACCTGGGGGTTACCAGGTGTTTCCCCTCCCTGCCCTCCCAGGAATTTCCCAGGGTGGGGGGCCCTGGAGTGTTGGGAATGAGGAGCTCTTACCCAACTCCACAAATGCCAGGCCCAGCAGGAATCCCACCAGGAGTTTCTTCATGCTGAGAGCAGATCCAGGCAGCCAAGACAGGTCCAGAGAGCTTCTCCCAGGGAGCTTTATATATTTTCCCACCCTCCACCAGCTGTTGTTGATCCTGTGGGCGGATTCCTTTGGGGTGATCAGGGGAAAGCCCAGCTCCAGTCTGGATTGGGATTTGCAGAGGAACGGGTTCCCTGATGAGGTGACATCACCGCAGTGAGCAGACTCCTGCCATACCTCGGCTCTTCCCCGGGTTTATGTCCTGGGGCTGGTCTCCCATGGAAAAGCAAAAACACGTCTGGCACTGCAAGGTGTGGCCCCATGCTGGGGCTTGGATGGGGAATGTGACAAGGTTTGTTTGCTCCTTCCAGTCTGGCTCCACGAGCCCAGAGCTGGCTTGTGCCACATGTGTTGCGCTGGCCAACAACTGTCAAGGGGCAAGTGACAGCAGGCTGGGCTTCCACGTGCTTTGGAGAAATTATTCCACGGGCTGGCAGGACTGGAGTTGCCCAGAGGTGTCTGTTTTCCCAAACATAGTTCAAAACCAAGCCTGGTTTTGGGATCCCTTCATTATTAACTGAGCTGCTGGGCTCGGGAATTGCTTGGAGGCCAGTGGGATATGGTGCTTCCAAGTCTGGAATTGGGATAAGTCTTGTGGTCTCAGGTCCTGGGTCATGCTGGCAAAGCAGGACACAGCCTTCCTTTGGAAAGCTGTCAATTATTTGCCAGATTTTATCCTGAAGCTGGGAAATAAGCCCAACATGGAACCATGTTGGAAAATTAATCAATTTTCCCACTCCAGCACATCAGGGCAACCCTTTCAAATGTCATAATTTATTTTGTATCGTATCCAATATTTGGGGAGACAGCTTCAAATGCTCGGAGCTGGGGAGAAATTATTTACTTCTCCCTTTGGACTGAGCCACTGGTATTTTATATTTCACAGGAAAAGCTGATAGACTTTTCGCTGGGTTTGTTGTGATCCAAATTGGAAAACCCTGGTGTTGTGCAATTTCCCATGAAGCAGCTGAATAAGCCAAAGAGGCAAAGTTTGTGAATCACTGGAGCACTTGGAGATTTTAGGGCTGGAGATGAGGTGAGTGAAGGAGCTTTAATGAGATGCATTGCCTGTCACAGACTTGTGACACGTGGGAATATTCCTGCCATTCCCGGCAGCCTCTCCTTCTTCCCAGATGGAGGATGGTTCCCAGTAACCTGAGAAGTGTTGCTAATGAAAATTTCCACAGCCACGGATAACACAAAGCTGACAGAGCTGTGGGAAAGGGAGAGAAAGACCTACACACCCTAATCCTTCTCTATCAGAGTGAAAATTATCCTTTATCTTCCTTTGTTCTCTGAGCTCATGTGATTTAAAAAAATGGATAAAACATAATTTTCTGGGGACACAGGAAAAAACCCACTCAATGAAATCCACCAGACCTGGTTACATACAGATCCCTGCTTGGAACTGGGCAGCTCAAGGCACATTTGAGCAATACCTTAATTATCAGCCATGAAACTGGAAGAGATCCAGTGCTTCCAGCATTCCAGGTGGTTGTGCCTCAACGGGAAAGCACAGTGGGGCTGGCATGGTAAAGCAGCTCGGTGGAGCGTGGAGTGGAAATGTCCGTGCAAACATCCTCTCATACCTGAAAGTCATTCCACACTGAGAAATTCTTGGGATAAATCTGTGTGGTTGAAGGAATAGGGATATAAATACTTAACCACTGTCTTAACTCTGTCTTAAAGGCTTGGAAAGGTTGGAGATCTTTCCGTAAGGAAAAACACTGGCAAAACACCAGAGTTCCTGCAGAGGTGCAGCAGTGCCAGACCTCAGGGAAGGAGGATTTGGGAGTGTTCCAGTAAAATTGTGGAGGCAAGGAAAGACTTTTAAGGTCTGTTAGCTTTAAGGTATTCCTTGATCTAAAGATAATCAAGAGCTTACAGAGAGATGGAGCCCTGGAAACAAACCCAAAACCCAACACAAACAACCGCTGGTGGTGTCCAGGTGTGTGTTGGGATAGGAGGGATCTGGATTTTGATTTTGGAAGTGGCAACACCCTACTGGCTTCCCAGGTAGAATTTCATTGGCACTGTCAAGAACAAAATGGGATCCTAATAAAAAAACCAAAAACAAACTAACAAAAAACCCAAACAAACAAACAAACACCCCAAAACAAAAACAAAAACAAAAACAAAAAACCCCCACAAAAACAAAAAACAAAATAATAATTAGAAGAAAGGGACAACAGGATTCCCACAAAAAAATTAATACACTGGCTCCTTTTAGCTTGGTAGAGTTAAATGAAACTGGAAATTGAGGTTGGATCGTAAACACAGAAAAAAAATTGGATTACTTCTGTAAGTAAAGGCAGGGAAGAAACCTGACCTGCTTTAAACCTGATAAGTATGTGGAAGCTGTGGTTTGACAGAGCAGTTAGGTAAGGCTTAGACAGCTTGTAGGACTCAGGAGGGCCAAAAATTCCCTTCTGTCTCTGCCAAGGGTGGAATAAGCCTTGGGAAAGCTTTTAGGACTGACTGACAGGAGCCAGAAGGGACTTGGGTTGAAATGTCATTTCAGGTCTGGACAGCAGAGAATATCAAAGAGACGAGGTGTGTTTAGGAGAAAGGTTTGTGTGCCAGAAGCCTTAGGGAATTCTCAGTGGGATCAATCCAAACCTTGTCCCAGCCCGTCCCTGGGAGACTGTCCTAACTGATAAGGTAATATAGGGAGATACAATCTCTGCTTATCACAAATACCAGGAAAGACAGATGACAGAAATTCGGTTTTTACGGTAAGAAGGTGAAGTGCTTCACCTGCTCTAACTTCCCTTAGAGTCAATTCTTGTTTCAATGATTATACCCCACATTTTTATGAGATCTGTGGCAGGGAGTGAACACCAAGCTTTGCTCAGCTGTTCCAGTCATTGATTATCAGCCACACGTGAAATTAGTCCTGTGTAAAATATTTCTACAATGATTTATGGACTCCCTACAGCCAGTGGCTCTTGTTGCACCTCTCTACTAAATTCAATTTCTCCCTGCTGCAATTTTTCTCTTCTCCACAGAAATATATTTTGTCTGGGATATCCCTTGGGTAGATTTCGGTGGGATCTCTGACTCCTTCTCTGGAAAGTCTGTTTTTCAAGGCTTTAATCTTGTGAACTCCCTCTGTTTCACCCCCTTCTCTCCCGCATTGTCCAGCCCAGATCTGGACATTTTCTTCAGCCACTCCATAGAATCCCAGAATGTTTTGGGTTGGAAGTGACCTCCAAGATCACCCAATTTCAATCCCTTGCCATGGGCAGGGACACCTTCCACCGTCCTGGGTTGCTCCAAGCCCTGTCCAACCTGGTCTTGGACACTTCCAGGGATGGGGCAGCCACAGGCAACTTAGGCAATCTGTGCTAGAGCCTCCCTACCCTCGCAGGGAAGAATTTCTTCCCAATATTCCATAAAATCCACTCTCTTTCAGTTTGAAGCTAGTCTCCCTTGTCCTGACACTCCATGCTCTTGTCCAAAACCCCGACACTCCATGCCCATGGTCCAAAATCCCTCTCCAGCTCTCCTGGAGCCCCTCCTTGGCTACTGAGAGCTCACAACAAGGTCATTGCAAGCTCTCTCCTCTGCAACCCCAGGAATAAACACTACGGATCCATCTGCCATGATACAAACACCAACCAACCCTATCTGACACTGTGTTCATGTCATGGTAACCATGGAATTAATCTATGTGACATCCATGTCTTTCCTGAGAGCCGATTTGCAGGATGGAGTCTGCTTCATTTCCCAGATATCAGATTCCCAAGCATCCTGGTGACAACTGGTTCGCAGGAAAACACAGATACTGCTGATCACTACACTCAGCCACCTGGATTTCAGCTCCTGTGACTCCAGAGGGGTAGAATTTTTGCCAGGGGACTTTTTGGATGCTCCACCATCCTCACGTGTGACTCAGTAGCAGGGAACCTCTCTGCCCGTGCCCGTGGCTGCAGCAATGTTTGATGATCCAATGGAAGTTCCAGCTCTCATGGGTGTGTGTCAATAACAAGACTTTGGGCTTGTTGGGGTGGAGTTGGTCTCCACCCTCCTGTTGAAACTCTGCCACTGGGCAGGAAGGAATTCAGGTTTCGTTGGGCTGGAAAAGGGTGAAAATGTGAGCACGCTTCTCCCAGGAGCTCTTTAGGTCTGTCTTCCACGGGCTGTTTGATATTAAATGTTTCTCCTCCAAAAAAAAAATCCATATTCACAGCTCTGATTCAGTCTCTGAAGAGCTCCTACCCTTTTTTGGGGTTTTTTTTTGTGCCTGAGCTTCATTTTGATGCTTTGCACCCCCTGTCTGAAGATGTGAGGTGAGAAGTTGAACCTCTCCAAGCAGAGGAGGGAACTGTACTTGCATTTCCCAAATTCTGGCTTAAGATCACTAATCCCAAGGCTAAAATGCAGATGCTCCTATGGATGGGAGGAAAGATTCCAGACTTGCTGGATTTTTACAAAAAGATGTACAGATTTTTACAAAAAGGTGAGTTGTGTTCAGGTTGTGAGAGAAAAAAGGGGAGTCCAGGGATACGGTCACGTGGAGGTTGGAGTCCTTTAATCATTGAATGGTTTGGGTTGGAAGGGACCCTAAATCTCATCTCATCCAACCTCCCAGCCATGGGTAGGGACACCTTGCACTAGACCAGGTTGCTCAGGTTCCTCTTCCAGCCACAGCATTGAGGACAATTCCTTCAGGCATCACCTCTGTTTGGTCCACCCTGGGAATGTAGGTCTCTCAAGCATTTTCTGAATACAGCAAAAATGTCCAAGATGTGATTCTGGATTGGATTCCAGAGGGATGAATACCCCCAATTCAGGCATTTCAGGCTTCCTTTAAGCTGTATCTGTCCTGCCATGGACTTGAGAGATGTCTAACTAGTGTAAAGTCCCTGAGTGTGTCATGTCCTAAATCCACTGGATTTGTTCCAGGGATTTGCCCAGGCACACTCTGAGGGCCGAGGATGTTTCCAGAAAGGTCGTTCTGGTTAGAAGGATGAGAAATTCAGGCACGAGCTGTAACAGTTGTGATCAGGATCAGAGAATGGATCCTGATCCCTTTTAAAGATCCCATTATTCTGATGTGGTTCCCTTTTCCATCCCAGTGACAGTTCCTGCCAGCCCTACATGAATGCCCACATGACCCATAAATCCACACTCCATCATGTAGGGAGCCTGTGACCATGTGATTTTCCATCTGAAATCGGGATGATTTGTAATAATGGGATTGTTTAAGGTTGTAAAAGATGTCTGAGATCACCAAATCCAGCCACCTCCATGTTCACCATTAAACCACGTCCTCAATTGCCAGATCCATGTGGTTTTTTTGAACACTTCCAGGCACGGTGACTCCACCACTTCCCCTTTTCTGATGCTTGAACACTAAAAAAGCCAAGGCTGAAGGATGCTGGGAATATTCCTGGGGACTGCTGGGAGTCTCCAGTCCCTTTCTCCACATGTTAATCAGCTGATGGCACTGTTGACCTCTTATCAACATTCTGCAGTACGAGGGCAACGTGCAGAGCGTGGCCAGTCACAGAGCTACTTCCTTCCCTTTATCAGGAAGATTTTCCCTCTTTACCGACTTTGGTTGTGCAGAGAAAGGAAACAGGGACCTTGCTGGGAACTTGTCACTTGTCAAACCCAGGGACTGTCACCAAGCCTGTGACTGAGAAGTGCCTGACATCACTTTGTCAACCTTCAGCACCATCAGCAAATGCCTTTGACTGACAGGCTGGCAGCAAAGTCTGTCGCCAGATACAGATCAGGATGAGTCAAGCTAAATAAGTAACCCCTGCTAAGTAATAAAATTAGCCTGTGCTGGGTGTTGCCATGGGGATCCAGCACCCTAATGGGAATAGCGTGATGAGGAAGCCAATTCCCATCCGTGGGGTCTGTATGGTCAAAACAAAAAGTTGTGGGAGCACCAATTAGCAGAAAATGCAGTGGAAATAGCTGTTGCCCTCATTTTTAAAAGAAGTTTTCTTTTGTAGGTATTTTGAAGGTTTTAAAGTTCTCATAAAACTTCTTTAGCCTGCTGATAATGTTTACATATTTCTACTAGAGTTCTTATGAACTGTTCATGTAAATAATGATTGTTTTACATTCTTCTTTGTGAGAAGAGAGAATTAATAGACTGTTAGTTTGACCAGTGTGGTTGGAGAGGTGGCGATTTCATCCTCCAATCCACTGTCACTTTTAGAATTCTATATATTGCAAAGTCAGAAATAAAATTAGCTCTTTTTCTCTTTTGAACTTACTAAGCTTCTGTCTACTCATTTCATGTCCAATAGCAACAAATAGCCTTTGAATGTTTGCAGAGTCACGGGCAGATTGAAGCAGGACAAAAAGTCCAGAGTGGGAGTCACCTGGCCTAAGCACAGCCTGTCTTCTCTACCATAGATGGCTCCTGGGTGACTCAATGGATCTGTTTAGTTTTCCAGTCAGGCAGACAAATCCAAACATCATCAGACAAAAGCTTCGTCAAAAAGTGGATGGCACTGGGGATTACCAGCTCCCCTTCACTGGCTTTAAAGGGAACCCTGCAAGGGTGGAGGTGGGGTCACCTGGAGGCCTCCTCTTAGTAAATGTGTGTTTTGCCATGGAGTGGCTTCTGTTGGAAGGGACCTGAAAAACCATCTTGTTCCAACCCCTGCCATGGGCCGGGACACCTTCCACTATCCCAGGTTGCTCCAAGCCCATTCAGCCTGGCCCTGGACACTTCCAGGGATCCAGGGGCAGCCACAGCTTCTCTGGGAATTCTGTGCCAGGGCCTCTCCACCTTCATAGCCAAGAATTCCTTCCCAATATCTCATCTAACCCTGCCATCTGGCAGTGGGAAGCTATTCCTAGTGACCTGACACTCCATTCCCTTTTCCCAAGTCCCTCTCCAGCTCTCCTGGAGCCCCTTCAGGCACTGGAAGGGGCTCTGAGCTCTCCCTGGATCCGTCTCTTCTCCAGGCAGGACATTCCCAACTCTCCCAGCCTGGCTGCAGAGCAGAGGGGCTCCAGCCCTTGGCTCTGTGGCCTCCTCTGGAATTGCTCCAGCATCTCCACATCCTTCTGCTGTTGGAGTCCAAGTCTGGATTCAGAATTCCAGGTGGGATCTCACCAGTGGAGCAGAGGGGCAGAATCCGCCCCTCACCTTCTGCCTTCACTGTGGGGACACAGCTCAGGACACAGGGGAGTCTCAGGAATGCCTTTCCCTGCCAGAACAACTCTCAGGCACACTCTGGGATTCTTGGAGTGTCCTGTGCAGGGTCAGGAGCTGGACTTGGGGATCCTTGAAGATCTCTTCCAACTCTGGACTTCCCCCGAATTTTGCCAATCCATCCCAGCAGGACCAAGCTCCTTCCTCATCCATCCACGTGTCCAACTTCAATGATCACATCCAACGCTCTCTCCATTTGTTGTTCTCTTCTCGGCATCCTACGTAATTCCAGAGCCCTTAGGCTTTGCCAATTAATTTTGATTTAATCCGACTTCAGCTCCTTTTAGCCTCCTACACCACAGATCAATCGTGTCTTTCCTTCCTCGCCCATCCCTTCCCTCCCTGCTGAGATGTTTTTGAGGTGGCACACCCTGATTTCTGGGATCAGGAGTGTAATGCATTTGGAATAATATTGTCCCCTCACCCAGCTGAATTTTGGGATGATCACTTTTAGATAAGCAGAAAAACATTGATATATGGCTGATATATAGATAAATATGTTGATATCCAGATATATTTGTTGATATCCAGAGACAAGAGAAGTGAACTGGAAGCTCAAGGGTATGGATGCAAAGTGTGAAGCTTGTGGTTCACTGAAATCAAAGATTCAGAAACCTCTTTAGGGTGTTTTTTTTTTTCTGTAAAAAGGAGGAAAAATGGAGAAAAAAATTCTAGAGAGAGCAACTGTGGTGTGACATGGGTGAATAATTTCAAAGATTATTCCAGGAATGAGAGGGAAGCCTAAACAAATGTATAAAAAAAATGAGCAGCAGACAAAACAACACGAGGGAGGTTAAGAAATATATAAAGCAAAAATTTGCAATAGTCAAAATTACTTAGATCTCGAGAAAGACATTGAATGCTATTTATTAATTTATTTAAAAGGAATTATTTTAAGTTATTTAAATATTATGCAAAATTATTTAGCCTTTAAATTGAGAGGCAAAATAAACTAGTGATAGATGAAAACTGAATATTAAATTAACCACTTGCTTATTCAATATATAAAATGCTTTTGATTTTAGGGGTAAAGACAGCGTAGAAAAAGGCGTCTAGAAAAAGATACAACCACAACTGAGGTGGAGCAAAAAAATTCAATGTGTTCAAGCTGGGACAAAGCAGGACAGGATATTTTCTGTGCCAGAACTCTTGGAGAACTCAGATACAGAACAACAGGTCCAGGTCCACTCCTAAATATTATTTATAAATTGGTCAAGGCAGAATAATGAGGTCAGAATTTAGCCCCTAAATTAAAAAGAGAAGGGGTAAAAGCCAGTGTCTGACCACAATAGAGTGCCGGGAGTAAAAACAAGGTTTGAAAGTAGGAAAATAATAAAAAACGCAGAAAAATACTTAAAATCCAATGTGGTATTTGCTGTTTTCATGTTAATAAAGTCAGATTTTCACAAGTTTAGCAAAGTAATAACACAGAATGATGTGGGAATATTTATTAAGATGGCACAGATGGAAATTAAATTGATATAAGATGGGTGAGAATTTTTTAAAGGCCTGGCAGCGGAGAAGCCAGAAATATTTAAAGTGTTGGGAGTGGGATATGAACCTGGGGAAATTCATCAGTGCCGTTCCTCACTTTTGGAGTGTTCTTGCTTAATATCTTCTGTTAAGATCTTGAAAGATGCCAAATAGGATAGAATTTACTGGTGGCACAAATTCGGGAAGCCTCAGCAATTCCAGGAAGGATCAGGATATCATGAAGAACCAGGTGGCTTGGATGTCAGCTGGATTAAATGGATTATCCACCATATAAGTCAATTGTAGGGTAAACGAGGACATCACACGGAGATGATTGGGAGATGAAAGATGTGGGAATTCTTGGATGATCCTGGCTGGAAACGCTGTCAGGCACCTGATGGAGCATGGAAAAGGTGCAACACCGTGTGCATTTCCCCACCTGTGGCTGAGGGACCTGAATTCTCACCCAAGGAATCATGGAGAGTTGAGAATGGAGGGAATATGAAGCCAAAAGGGAAGATTTAATAAAGAGGGAAAGCAGATTTTCACACAGGCATATGGTGATAGGACAAAAGAGAAATGGTTTTAAACTAAACAAAGATTTACATTAGAATTAGGGAAGAAATTCTTCCCTGTGAGAGAGGGGAAACACTGGATTAAGCTGCCCAGAGAAGCTGTGGCTCCACCATCCTTGGAAGTGTTCCAGGCCAGGCTGGACAGGGCTTGGAGCAACCTGGGATAGCAGAGGGTGTCCCTGCCCATGGCATGGGATTGGAACTAAATGGTCTTGAAGGTCCCTTAAACCCCAAACCTTTCCATGATTCTATAAGAGATGGGATTTCTTTCCCAAATACGGCCACACACAACAGCAGGGAAGAATTGCCTGAGATAAGGAAAATGGTGGCACTAGAGAAAAATAGTCCTTCACTTCTCCGTATAAATTTTCCATGTTTAGTGCCACCCTGGGAGCTCTTGAGGCCGGAGAACTGATCCATGCTCATGACTGGAAAATTGGGATGGAGACACAGAAGGTTTGGTCTGGTTTGGACTGGATATAAGCAGTGGTTTTGCCAGACACTTGAGTGGAAAGGCTTTATGACCTTCCCAGCAGTAACATTCCAGGAAAACCTTTAGCCTTGTCAGCCTCCAGTGCCCATCTATCCACTCTGCATAGCAGTCCTGTCATCCAAGGATGTTGGGTAATCCCTCATTTGAGGTTCCAGGTTAGCAAACACCCCCATAGCTAAAAATAAGAGTTTGTGGATAGTGCTCAGCTCTGGGAACAGATGAATCCAGCTCTTCCACACTCCACTATTTTGGCAGTGCTGGTGCCAAATTCATATTTGGATAACTCCAAGATTTGAAGTGGTAGAAGTGGATGATGGGGGAAGAAATCTTATCACGTAAGATATCCACTGGTTTGGGGATGAACTCAGAAGGTTTGAAAGTTATTCCACATGTGAGGGAGGTGAGACTAAAATTTACACCTTGTTTCTGCTGAAAGCACTCCCAGGTCTCATGGCAGCTCTGTCTGGATGGGGTTGGAGGAAGGTGACAAGGAAAATAAGGGTGAAACATAAGTGGAATATTCACCTTGCTGTGATGTAGGGATCTGTTTGCCTTAATAACCTATTAAACATACTGAAAGGCTCAGAGGGTTGGGATTATACAATTTGTACAAGAGAAGCTCTGTGGTGACCTTAGTGTCCCTCCCAGTACCTGAGGGAGCTCCAAAAGAGCTGGAGAGGCAGTTTGGAAGAGGGATGGAGCGACAGGACACAGGGAATGGCTTCCCACTGCCAGAGGGCAGGCTTAGGGTGGATACTGGGGAGGAATTCTTCCCTGTGAGGGTGGTGAGGCCCTGGCACAGGTTTTCCAGAGAAGCTGTGGCTGCCCCTGGATCCCTGGAAGTGTTGAAGTCCAGGTTGGACAGGGCTTGGAGCAACCTGGGATAGTGGAAGGCGTCCTTGCCGATGGCAGGGGTGTTGGAACTGGATGATCTTTCAGGCCCCCCTTGCAACCCAGACCATTCCACGATTCTGGACCTGATATTGATGGAGCAGATAGGACCCTTGTCCTCTTGGACTCCTCTTGGAGAGACAGCCCTGTCATATGGGGCAGAGCAGTGCATCCACCCTTCACCAACCACCTTCACCAAGTGTCTGCATTGTGTCTTTGCCTCCTACACCCCTGGCTGCCCTCAGGATGCTTCCTGCTCCCAATCCCACTGCTGGGTTGGGAAGAGGCAGCTGTGAGCTCTACTTTAGCCAGAGGATTTGGGCTTGTTCGTGTCGACATCTAAATCGTGGAGCCAACAAAATTTCCCCTGTCATTTCTGTGATGCAAAGGTATCCCCTGGTTTTTATTTCGTGGTGAATCACCAGGGTGGTGATGGCAGGGCATTTACCTTGGCGTAGCCACACGGTGTTGTGGCTTTGCTTCCTGGTCTCCACCCTTGGTGTTTTGGGGTTCTTCACAGAAAGTGTGGTGAAATCTGTGCAAGGAAGGAGTCAGCTGTCCTGAACAACTGGATTAGATTAGATTATTTTAGATTAGATTAGATTATTTTAGATTAGATTAGATTAGATTAGATTAGATTAGATTAGATTAGATTAGACTTGGTTTTTCACTTGGGAGGGTCCTACAATGCCCATCCAGTCCAAGTCCCTGACCAATTCAGTGCTGACCAGAATTTAAAGTATATTCTGAAATTCAAATTCTGACAGACGTGAGGCATTGACCACCTCTCCAAGAAGCTGTTCTGGTGTTTGACCACTCTTGGTTAAAAAAACCTCCTGATATCCAGTTTATACCTCCCCTGGTGCAGTTTGACCCTTTCCCACGTGTCCCGTTCCTGGATGTCAGGAAGAAGAGTTCAGCACGTCCCTCTCCAGTTTGCCTCCTCAGGGAGTTGCCATGAGGTTCCCTCCCAGCCTCATTTTCTCCAAACTGGGCAAACCCAGAGCGCTCAAGAATGTTCCTTCCAGCCCTTCTCCAGCTTTATTGCCCTCACATGGATGCATTCCAGGACATTCCCATCAGTCCTAATTTGTGGGGCCAGAATTGCACAGAATGTTTCAGGGGAAGCCATGCTGGACACAGCGGGATAATCTCCCTGGACACAGCCCAGGATGTGGTTTGTCCTCTTGGCTGCCAGGACACACTGGTGGCTCCTGTGGAACTCTGTCAGATTCCTTCTGCAGGACTGGTTTCCTGTCCTTCCTCTCCCAATTTATCTTGTGCCTGGCATTGCTCCATCTTAGGTGCAGAATCTGTCATTTAGACCTGTTAAGTGTCATCCCATTAATCACTAATTTCCTTCTCTTTCACGCTGGGGAATAAACATCCATCCCAGCCTCCCTTTCCATTCCTTGCATCTTTTCCACTTCACACAAAGGTCTCTGGGAATGAGACATTTCTCTAGAACAGAGTCACAAAACTTTAGCAGAAAACAAACATTTCCTGCCTGGATATTAACAATTCCTGATGAGCATGGAGAATACAATGTGCAGCCCTGGATGTGAGGATTTTCCATGGACCAGCAACAGCAACAACCATTTGTGTAGACCTTGACCTGGGCTGAGGTAGTGACTGGTTGAAGACACTTTGAAAAGGGTTTGGACAGATCCAGTTTGGGAGGGAATGGTTCAGTCTGAGAATTCTTGAATCCATTTAGAAGATGATTTTCCTTCACCAGATTACTCAGATTTCTCCTGCCCCAGCAATCCCACAGTTCAATGTCACGTTTTTACACAAAACCCATCAGTCCCTTCAAACATCTTCAGCCTTTTGCTGTGCATCTCTACTGAAATAAATATTATTTGTTGGTTAAAACTGATATTGCAGAGCATCTAAAAAATGGAAGACCATGGAATCATGGAAGTAGTTTATTTTGGAAGGGCTGTCAAAGATCCTCTCAACCAACTCCCTGCCATGGGCAGGGACAGAGATGCTGAGGATGAGTCTCTGGCACTGAAGCTGATGAAAAAAAAAGATCTGTGATTTGTTTTTTTTTCCAGCCAAAACCCACTGATTGCATGCAAACTGCCTCTGGGAATGGTTTTTGGGTTGTTTTAACTCCTCTGTCACCCCTAGGAATTGCCTGGGAGATCCTTGACCTCAACCCATGCTGGTGAGATTAGGGATGAGGCACCTCCAGTGCCCAGAGGTGTCCACTGTCCTGGAACTGTGACCTCTGGGCCTGGGACTTGCTGATCCCATTTTCTAGAAGGCCAGAAAAGTAGCAAGTTGTTTGTATTTTGCCTTCCATGATTTTTAAGGAGATATTTTTCTCACCCTTCATTCACCCTGCCTTTCTTGGGGGGTGTGTGGGTGTATCCCACCTCCTGTGCTCATTAGGCAGGATCCTTCCAGGGAATACAATGTGTTTCAGGATGTTTTGGGCTTCATTTATGCCAAAATGGGCCTCACAGAACTTGTACAATAATGTTAAAAAAAAAAAATCACAAAGGGACAATAAATTTGGGTTATAGCCAAGAAGTGAATGCATTTAATTTTTTCAGGTAATCCAAATGTTAGGGAATTCTCGATTCTTATGGATACAGGAGACACTGATGAAAACCCTACAAGAATTTCTGACAGGGACATGCTGGCAACGAATCCCTGCTTCCCATGGATACTGTGAAGCAACAGATCTCCATGGCAAAGGCAAATATTTCTTTTCCTCATCAAAGGGATGAGGAGAAGCAGGGCAGAGCTGCTGCACTTGAGCACCTGATAACAGAACGTTTGCTGCAAAAACATCAAAGAAGATAAATTAATTGGCTGGGATTATGAAGGGCAGGGAAACAGCTGTCTTT